GTGCAAGGACTGATCATAAAGTTACTTTTTCAGCACTGTCATACTTGCGAACGGTGGCTAAACGAGACAGTTGCTAACCGAGGACTACCTATACAGAATTACAGCCTTAGTTAACTTACATTTTCCCAACTGCTCATTTCTTCTGTGATTCTGAGGAATGTAGCAGATCAGCGTGTTAGCGTAAGGATATAAATGCCTCCATCCTTTAGTACATTGTTTTGTGGAATATAACCCCGGAAATGAACTGTGGCATGAACTGAAACTTGCACCTTTGCTGTATAGACAGATCTAAATCAAGAAACAATTTTGTTCATGAAAACACAGCAGTGAATCCTGCCCTAGGGAATTTCTAACAGCAAAAACTGAGTTCAGGTAGGTGCAAGTAGGTATGGCCTTTCCTTTAGTCACAGGGCAATGGTGGATGAATATTGCAGAATGGAATCTTATATACCTATATGGGGGGGGGAGGCTTCTCAGATAATATGCAAATAGGATTGCACTATAAGTTAGCAGGGAAGAGAACATACAAATACTCAATGTGCCCTTAACTTGCTTTGTAACGTAGGGATATATTTGTAATGTGGGATATATTTCTGTGAAATAAGGCGTGTCTGATAAATGAGCTGGTCCCATAATAGAAAATAACCAAAGGGGTAAAGGTATCATAATATACTATCAAACTGCATCCATTAACAAGTTAGAAGTAATTATGGATGTGCATTCTGTTGCAGATTCATCGAGCAGAAGTCTGAGTTGCTATTTACACACAGAATCTGAAGACACGGAGAAAAATTTCACACTGTCAATATTTAGAACCCTCATGGCTGCCTTTTCCCCAATCCCTCACTTAAGGAAAAATGGGGCTTTAATCCTGGAACAAAATAGGAAGATCGAATTCTTGAGGCTAGTTTCATGATTTTCCTTTCCTGGACCAAGCTTGGCTTTTTCCTTCCATAAGCTCTGCACGGCAGCAGCGATTTCATAGGTCAGGGAGAAAAACTGCCTTTATAAGTTCTCGATATCTCCTCTGAACACCTTGTCTTACTCTTACTCTCACACTTGACATGCAGCATTTCCTTCATCTTACTAACCAAGATCTTCCCAAATGACTGAGATAGAGCCTTCTCTCTGCCACAAGAGGTATGTAAACAAAGCTCAACTGTTTTGCTTTTATGCTTTGCATTCTCAGTGGCAGATTTATTTTCCTTTTGCTCTTAGGACAAAACCTTGCAATTGGCACCACAAAGCCCTAGAGGGTGCCATTGGCCTTTTTTCTTGTCATCTTCTCTCCCCCCCCCCCTTTCTGTTTCTCTAAAGGACATGTTGGCTGATCTCCTAATGCTATCTGAGGATGACACCTTGATGTTCCACGTGCTCCCTGCCTTCTGCATGAAATAGATCACTTTGGCTCGACCATCACAGCAGTGTCCTGGTGGCAGGGTTCAGTGTGCGGTTCTCTCCTCTCTCCCTTGCCATTTCTCAGGAGAAAGTGCAGCAGCAGCAAAGTAAAAGAAACAAGCACTGACTATTTTGTAGCGCTGGGTGTTTTTGCATCTTTCTTTGAATTCTTCCACTCTACTTAGTCAAGGGTCTTGACTAAGCAGCACAATGGGTCTTTCCAGCAACAGGAGAACCTATATTTTGCTCTGTGACCAATGCATCTTCCGACAGTAATCTAAAAGATGGTTAGGAAGAAGTCTAGATGTGAGTTGGCTGGCTGCTTCTACTATGGATTGAGAAGAGTAAGGGCACTAGGACTGAATGACTTATATAAGTCTTCCATGCAAAAATGTCCCCTTGATATGTGCACATAGGAACCACAGGCTGGCCAAGCCCGTGATTATTTACAAAAACCTTCCTCAACCGTGTCCCTTTTAACATGAGGTGGCTGGGAATTGAAAGAGTTGAGGTCCAACACGTCAGAAGCCAATATGCTGGGGAAGAACCTCTAGAACTTCAGTCTGGTCTCTTTTACAGCCTGACCTGGAGATGCCAGGACTGAATTTACTGTAAGCCAAGCATTTCTACTCTATCGATAATTCCTTCTCTTACATATTCATATTCTATATTTCTGAAAATGCCTGGTATAGCAATCCCATTTTTTTCTGCTTCTTTTACTCTGTATATCATATAAACCTGAGGGCCTTGAGTTTCAGAACACTTCAATAGCATGGCTAGGTCCAGTGTCCCACTTCTCCTCATCCCTAAAAGGAAAACGTCAAAATGTTTCTGTGGAGACGTTATACTGCTAAAGCAGATGTAATATAAGGGCTATTTGGTAAGCTTGGCTAAGTTTATGCTGGTATGTTTCCAAGGTACCCACAGCCTGGAGCCTCCTCCATCTGATCTCCTACATAAGCTATGTATGATCAGAAGAAAACAAAGATGGGGGTGGCCCCGATTATTCATTTCTGGCTCAGTTTGAATTAATACCAAATAAATGTTCTCGTCTTTAAAGGTTACAGGATAAAAATAGAGGGCAACTGCTGAATCAAGGACAAGCAGGGAAACACCTGATACGATCTAATCCATGCCAAGGCCCGCTGATGTATTAGCTAGATGACACCGTATCACCCAGCAGAGAAGAAAGAGAGAAAATGGGCAAGACATAGAGGGCCAGAACTGAGAGGGGAGGGGGAACCTTTTGCACACAGAACTCACTTTACTCACATTGCCTGGACCCCAGACCCCAGAACACATCGCCTGGAATTCTTGTAGTTAACTCCATCTGAGACTATGGACACAAATACTGCAGGCCAACTCCTATGACTGGAGAGGGCAGGATAAGCATGGGACAATCAGGCGGTAAAATCTACCTGAATTATTCTCTTCTCTGCCTTTTCTCTTGGCTTGTCCAAATTATTTTGCTCAATGGGAAGAGATCTATTTCCCCAGTTACCCTGCGCCAGTCAGCTACTTCCATCTACACAAGGATGGATGCTTTTACTCTGCAGGATTATGGCAAGGCGCAGCACAGAATAAATTATTGTGCACTTGAACTGGGCTCGCACATCACACAACCACAAGACACTGCTTTGTGGCTTAAAGTAATGAAGAAAGCCAGTTATAGAGATCAATTGTAACTCTGAAACAGAAATGTGCATGTATATGCATGTCCTACACTTCAAGAAGTCCTTCATTCTGGATGCCAAACAATAAAGGCAATGATGATATGAGGTGTGTTTTTCTTTGCTGCTCAGCAGAGGTAGATCAGAAGTTTCCTAGGGTCATACAGAGGGTGTAAATAGATAAGTGCTATTACCAGAACTATGCCTTGTAGATGTTGCTACGAGGCACAGTAGTGGGGGATAAGGCAAAGAGGAAATTTGGAAGGGAATTTAGCCTACTGGGTTTGTCTACTATTTACTCTGATAGGCAGACCTTCTTGGTAGATTGCAAGGAGAGGGGCCTGAGCTAGTTGATCCATATAGAATCATCCACTTGACTGGCTTATATATCTTGGTACCTTTGTATGTTTTAGATAATGGCTCCTCACTTTTCCTTTCCTAGTGTGGAATGTTATTCTGAATGAAAATCTATCCCACCTGGTTAGGGATACAACTTCAGCCTTTGTGCCCTGGCCTGTATGTCTAGGGTCTGAGATAGATACAGGTGAAAATCCAAGTGTCCCATGAAGTTTCTGATAGGTGGCTGTGTTAGGGAACAGCTCTGTTGAGCTTCCCTACTCTTGGATATAACTAACTTTGCTGGTATATTGCTCCTTACTCTTGTAGAGGTGGGGCTCTCTTCTCCATCCGCTGTTTTCCAATCCTTATGCAAGAAGCACCTGGAGGCGGCTTCCTCCAGGTGCTGAAGGAAAGGTTGGCAGAAGGGGCATTATTTTGGGCTTACTAACCAAAAAATGTTGTGAATCTCCTGCCCAGAGGGACATCTTGGATACCATTGCCTCCCAGATATCTGGTAAACTACAAAGCAATGGAAGAGGTTGGAAGACCTCTCTCCTAGTGACTGGCAATACCAGAAGTATTGTTCACTGGGCACTGAGTCCCTGAAATCATGGCAAGAGTTTTGAGGTCATTTGGGTACATTCTGGGAACAGGCCTCCATTGCTGCATGTTAACTGGAAACCCATGTGCATCCTTACTGTCACAATCCCAGACTGGCTGGCTTTGGTGGCATTTCCAGAAAACTCGGAAGTGCCTACATTTCATATTCCTATGTGGTATCTTGTAATGAGTACTTGTGTTGTAGCTTGAATCGGTCTTTCATCCTCTTGTGATTCAGCTCCAATAGTCCAGAGAACAAAAAGGCCTTAAAAACATTCTTCTTTCACTTCATTTGGTTTACAATATATAAAGTCAAGCTTTGTATTTGGAGGAAAAGTATGCTATGCAGGTGAAGTATCAAACATAACTTGTTGATTTCTTCTGCTTCCCTCAGGATGGTGGAGTGGAAGCCAACTGATGATTAGCTCTCTCAAAGTAGAGCTAAAACAATGGCAGTTGCTGCATGGAAGTGAAATATGGACTTAAGGTTGGTTTTTCTCTCCTACTGTAACCCTCATTGAGAGTACACCAAGTTCTGTCATGAGCTCTGTGTCCCTTGGTGGGATATTTCTCAAAGGGAATGAAAGCAATCAGATGCTTCTTAATCTCCCCACAAGCAAGGCAATCATTGTGTCTCCAGTCCAACTGAGAAAGGGAAAGCAAAATCTGGGAAAGTCAAGCATGTTCCCCAAGAGAGAGGGAGGAGGAAGCTAACAAAGATCCTGTGGAAATGGATGTCCTGCAGGAATAGAAGCTGAAACACACTTATTCTTTGTGTGAGAAATGTTTCTCGTAAATAGGCCTATTTTCTTCTTCAAAGTCCCCAAGAAGTGGCAAGCTTGGAGAGAAGGTGTTATGCATCTTTGCAGATGAACTTCCTCCGCCTAAGACTTAATTAGGTTGGCAGGATTATGCATGTGTGGACCTGCATAAATTTTGTGGCAACAGTTTTCACAACTTTTTTTCCCCCGATTCACATCTCTTGGCCCATGTTTAAGAGGTACAGGATGCTTCCGATGGGAGGCTACCCCGTTTCAGCCTCAGACTGCCATTCCAGCCTCGTGGACAAATATTGAAGCTGCGGATGCTAGGTGACTTGACCCCAGAGCAATCAGAGTCCACGGATGCCTCTGAATTGGTGGGGGACATGGAAGTGGAGCGCTTCACCGGGGAACATGTTGTCATCATGGGAGACATCAGGGGGCTTTGGAAAGTGGGAGAACAAGCATCTCGGTTTTTGGGGCTGGTATATGATATCCCACTGGTGTTTGCTGGCAACGTGAAGACCTTGTGGCTATCCACGAATGTGGGTTTTTGAAGTGGCCCTGGATTCTTGTGTGATTCAGAATGCGTGCCCATTATACTTGAGCCATTATGGTTTGTTGATACAATGAACTGGGACGCTCCAGTTCTAGCAGGCAGTGTGAAGCATTTGTTTCCATTCATCCTCCCTGCTTTTGGTGACTGTAGTGGGCTTGGAGATTTGATGCCTAGAAACCTGGGGCTGTTGTTTGATGATGCACTAGCCTGGGGTGGAGCAGCTGAGACGGGGAGGGAGGCACGTCTGTAGCCATCCATTCCTGTCAGCTTAGGTGATTGAAGTGGGCTTGGAGAATGATTACCCCTGTTCATAGAACTTCCACCAGTGGATGACACATTGGGGCAAGTGACAGGGGGTGTGAAGGGCCTGAAGTTTTCTACTCCAGTGAGTTTGGGAGAAGAGCTCTTTCTCCGGGCAGCATTTATGATATTTCTTGCCAACAGCACCTGCATCTGTCGGCTGGACTTTTGGTCAATCTCCTGTCGAAATGGGGACAGAGACCTTTCGCTCCAGGATGGAGACATGGGAGGAGGTGGAGTCATAACATGGGCTGCTCGAAAGACTTCAACAAGTCCATCCTCAGATTCTGGAGTTTGGGCTGGGCTCATCCAGCCCTCTATGCTGCTGGACTGTCGCCTTATCAGCTGTGGGGTCCATGTCGGGGAGGCAGGCAGGGATGCTTTTCTTTCCTGCAACAGGAAGAGGAATAATTTTTAGCATTCTGTTCCTCTAGACCCTTCAGATTGTGCTTACCTGCAGAAGGCAATGTCTGGCTGGGCACCGTAAGAGGAATCAAGGTTCAGAGAACAGCTTGCTCCCTGCATTTCTTTTCTAGCTATATCCATTCCTCCTCAGATGACTTTGGGTGATCTCCTTATAGTTCCCTTACTCCATGAGTTCAGTATGAAAATATCCTGGTACCACTCTAAGGGCGCTTTTTATCTGGGAATTGTACAACTGGAAAAGATTTGAAAAGACAACATGGAGAGAAGGACTTCCAACTTCCTGCTGGCTTCCCCATTGACTTTGCTTGTGGGAAGCTGGCAGGGAAGGTTGTGAATAGTGATTTTGTGACAGCAGGATTGTGCAAAGGCCCTATGTACAACACCTGGTAGTAGCTGCCACTTGTTCAGTGCTGTCATAAGTTCAGACATGATTTAATGTGAGTGGTCATTAAACAAGGACCACTTGTATTTTATTTTAGTTATTAAATTTTTATCCTGCCCCATCTGCCCTATAAGGTGACTCCGGGTGGTAGTGCTTTGGAGGGGAGTGAGGGGATGCAGGATAGGGATCACAGCAATGGGGACAGCTAATTTCATGCTGATTTAGTTTTCTGCCAGTCCAAGAGTGGATGATGTTCAACATAGGAGCCCCTCCTCTCTTTCTACACGTTTCCTCTCACTTGTCCTTTCTCCCTTATATTTGTACACCTTTCACACACATCTAGAGGGTCTGCAGGCAGGAAAATCTCTTAACTTTGATCAGAGGAACTCATGGGAAATAAAGCCTCTACACTGGAATCCAGCTAAAAAGAGCCCCATTAAGATTTATGGAAGCTTTAGAAAGCTTAATGGGTAGGGACAATGGTAGCAATAGGACATAGGAGTCGTTGTGGCAAGATTTTTCTGCAAGAAAGACCACCTTAGCCCTTCCTCAAGAACTGCCACTTGCCCTCCTTCCCTCTGGGAAACAATGTCTCTACTGGAACAAGATTTTAAGAGTTTCCATGGGCACCAGCACAAAGCCACAAAAAAGTTCATCTCCATTCCAAACTGATCCCTTATCCAGTTAAAAAGTACAGTTTCCTGATAGAATTTGTAAGAGGTGTTTGGTGAACAGGCAAAGCTCTATCCTGAATTCAAATCTGGGATTCCTTGCATAAAATTAAATAGAAAACCATTGCCACTCAATTTATTGATATGGGAACTAACAGAAGGCAGGGATAGTGTTCATTTACTGAAGGAGCTAGGAGTCCCCCGGTGTTGTTGGGCTTGTAGGAACATCTGAGATGTTGAAAAAATGTTATAGGCAGATTTCCTAAGGGCTGCTCTGTTGGCATTGCCAGTCACAATGTGGTTGTCCTGGGGGACATATATTTCAAAAGTTTCGGTTTATCAGCAATCCACTTGTCACTAGCTGTACTATCTCTTCTGCAGGATGGTCCCTTTTTCTCCATGCATTTTTGCTCTTTTCTCGGGATGAATGGGCACAGTTCCAAAGACAGATCTGGGCTGAAATTATCACAATTTTATTTTCTATGACAGCTCGTGAGACCCTTAGTCTCTTTAGAAATAAAGAAGGTGTGGGATCAAACTGCATTGAAGCATGTTGACCCTCCACTATTTTAAAAAATAAAAAATAACAATGCAGAAAATCAGCAGGTAAGGGAGATACCTATAGTATCACTGGTGCTCTCAGATGTTGTTCTTTAGGGCATAAAGTAAAACTACTTTTGGAATTTAACCTGTCAATCCGAGTTTCAGGGTTTTTCTGGGATTTTTTTGCCTTTAAGTCAGACTTGTCTGCTGGCCATTGCCTGGACAAGTCCCTACAGTTTTCTTGGCAATGTTTTTCAGAAGAGCTTTGCTATTGCCTTTGAGTGAGAAAGACTAGCCCATGATCACCCAGCTGGCATTGTGCCTAAACCAAAACTAGAACTCACAATTCCCCAGTGTCTAGTCCAGTGTCTTGAAGTGCTACACCAAATTGACTCCGTTCTGCAAGAACAAAGCTAAATCGCTAAATAGCTACATGTAACATGGCTATGAAAACAAGAGGGCCTGTGCAAAAAATTGAACATAGAGAGCAGATGGAAGCAAGGAAATGAAACAGAAGAACCTCTGCAAAACACAGAATAATAGAAAAATCCAGGAGGTTCCATTCATTGCTTGAAATTCCTGAGAAAAGTGAGATTCCTCTATCCACAAAACAAGGTGCTAAGCTAAGGGATAGCAGAATGTAAAAGGGGAAAGGAATCCCAAAAACTGACATGGAAAGCATGCTTCACTCATTCCTACGCTATGGTTTTCTAGTATTATTTCCTTCCTTTACAGTACCTTTCAACTCACGTTTTAGGACACATAAGAAAAAAAACCCACGTCAACACAGGAATACATCCTGATGGTTTTCCTGACTTACATGTTTCATTGATTTCCTGCCTTTCTCCCAAATGTGTATCTCATTGCTGAAATAAGCTTCATAATAAAGACCTTAATGCATGTATTAATGGGAGGGCTTAGCGTAACAGTATTTTAGAGAAAGGATGGAAAGCTGCCAGAAACAGCAGTAATTGAGATCCATTGGTGCATCCAAGCACAGGGGTCTGCAGCTACCATAAAGAAGAAGAAAAATGTGCAGTACAGCACAACACAAATCCCACTGCTGCGTAGTTGCAACCCAATTTCTGACAAAATGACTAGAAGTCTTAGTATCTACATTTGAAATGCTGCATTTTTTAATCACTCTTTCACCCCCACTGGCTGCATCCAGGTTAACATTAATGGAAGTGCTTCATGTTATCATTCGGTTAGAGATGTTAAGCCAAGAGCCAGAAGGCATGTTGCTGCAGACATTAATGCACAAAGGTAACCATTCACATACAACTTGTCTGAAAATAATTTCTCCAGCTGTATTTTTATTGGAATCCTGAAGTTGAAATTATTTCAGATGAACTGAGGTTTCTCAGTTTGTATGACTAGGTGAACAATTTGGATTGCCTGGGGAATGAATATCTCTTGCATTAAATTAATTCCTTCCTTCCTTCCTTCCTTCCTTCCTTCCTTCCTTCCTTCCTTCCTTCCTTCCTTCTCTCATTCAGCTGTCCAAATTTTGCAGCATCCCTCCTGCTCTTCATAGCTCTCAAATGGCTTCTTGTTAGTGGGAATGCTGACATGGAGATATCAATGGCTTGTTAATTCTTTTGTGCCATGGATTACTGAACTTTAGTTCACTATTTGTACACCCACCCACACATACAGACATGCACACAAACACACCCCTGAATTACTGTATACCAGAAAATAAGCATTAGGGGTGAATGCTGTTTCCCTTGCTTCCAGCATCGTATTATCTAGGAAGCAGGCCTCTTCTCTGCCTATCTCTCAACTGCTGTTGCAAGTTTCAGGCGAGGAGAAGAAATTCAGTCCTTTGTTAAATGGAACATCCAGATAGGAAGCACCTGCCTCACTGAAAACAGGCCTCTGTCAGTTTTCAGCAAAATATTTTGTGTATTTTCAATGTTCAGTATTAAGTGAAATTCCTAAGCATTGATTAAACATGTAATATCACCCCATTAAAATAGATCTTTCTACAGGATGCCTTTGACAGTAATTAAAACCACAGTGAACTATGCTATCTAAGGACTATGGGAGTTGTAGTTTAAAACACATGTGGAGGGCTCCCAGTTGAAGAAGACATCCATGTTGTTCTCAGCAGTACTAGTGATATATATTTTGTGTGCAGTTTTTAAGGCATACCTTGAACTCTATAATGAAAAAAACCAAATGTTGACCAAATTTGATACTATACAGGTAGACTATTAGAAACCCGTGTCTGTGCCTGAGACCCAAGAACAACTATGATGTGATATTTGACACAATGGGTACACTTTGAGTGGATCTATAACAGTTCTTCATAAAATAGCTTTCTATACTCAGACTTTAACCTTAATTATACTTAATACTATCCTTAACCTTCCTGTTTATTATGCTTGAAGGCTATACACAAGAACTTGCACTTTGTTCATTTATATTAATGAATGTAGCCTTATAAAATATATCAGTTAAAGGATATTTGAGACTCTGTGACCCTTTGGGTTTTGCTGAACTGCAACTCCCAGAAGCCAGTAAGTGTAATGAAATATGTTGGATGATCTTGGGGGACTAGGGGAAGAGAAGCTGTCTAGGAAACAATCAGGAGAGGCCCAAACCTCCAGTGGATTAATGGTCATAGGAAGGAAGGACCTGCATTCTTTGTTCAGGAAGTTAAAAGTGGTGGCGGCAAGTTTGTACCTTCAGACTTGCAAGGTTCTGTTAATGCAGCCTTATAACAAAGTAGATTTATTTCTTCTACTCGTGTTTCCTGTGAGGTTTACCTGAGAGAGCTGATAGTAGTTCAGCAATATTTGCATTCTCCATCCAGTCTGTGATTTTATATATGCTCTAACTCCTCAATTGCCCTTCCATCTTTCTCTGACTCTTGATTCAAAATCTGTCCCTCTTTTCTTCCTTGAAGATGTTTTGCTGACTGAAGCAAAGAATAACTGGTGCCCATTTCTCCCCTGCTAAAGCCAACACTTGAAGAATGCTTCAGCTGGATGGGCTTCCTCTGCATCTGTCTCTCTCTACTTTCTCTTCCACGACTTGCCTAATTGTAAGCAATTTACCCTGCTGCATCCCTCTCCTTAGTCTTTCATGGTTCCCTCCTTCCCTTGCTGCCTCTTTTGAAGGCAACAGCACTGGTAGGGTTATTGAACCTGGCTTTCCTAAGCTTAGGCACCCTCAAGATGTGGACTTCAACCCACATAATTTTCAACAGTGGCCAGGCTGGCTGGGAATTGGGGAAATTGTCAATACATCTGGGCTGAGACTGAAACCGAAACTGTCAAAGTGAGCCAAAGCACTTGAGTTTCCCAAACATTACTCTTAGACCTGTGTTTCACAATTTCAGCAGCTTTGCAATGCAAGTAGGCTAGCTGGGGAATTCTGTAAATTAAATCCCATACCTATTGAAGCTGCTGAGGTTGGGAAACATTGCTCTAGGCCTATCTTCATGGGTTGAACTGTACCTTCCACATTCCTAGATACTGTGGCCAAAATCTGTAAGGCACAAGCTTGAGGAAAACTACTGGACTTTATGGCCTGGGGAAGATGGGAACGACAGTCCAAAATTTTGGGAGGATTCATAATTGGTATTCAGTCATATTCTAGGCAACTGTCCTACATTCCCTAGATAACTTTTCTCAATTCAACCTTTGTTCCACTACTTAAGTCAATAAGGTCATGAAGAAGATTAAACAAAAAAAAACTTCTTGGGTAAAGTGTTCATTTTAGAACTTTGCCAAGTTTGTTTTCTTTTGGTAGAGAGCTTTCATCCAACTTCTTTAAATTTCAGTGAAGTGGGGAATACCACAAGTTTAATGCCCTCTCATTTTGAAATCTTCTTTAGCTGTGGTGGAAAAACTTCCTTTTCTTTTTCCTTTCCTTTCCTTTCCTTTCTTTTCCTTTCCCCTTTCCTTTCCTTTCTATCAAAGAAATGTCAAGTCATCTAAGTTCTATTCTCCTGGGATCTGTTTGACCCATCTCTTCTTTGACTTTCAGATTTAAAGAAGAGAAAGTGCAGTTGCCAAGTTTCAGGCTTTCTTAGTCCTTTGATACTATTTCTCTAATATATGGTATATCAATGCTATTCATGTATAGATGGCTCTATCAGCTTGCCCTGCATTAGTGCTTTACCAAGGCAGATGTTTTTATTGGATTAATGAAGAAAAGGGAGAAAACCTCTTGCTGCTCCTTGATTAGCCAGCAGGTATATGGGATTCAGTCGGGAATCTTTGCAGGAGAGGGTTGAAAAGGTCAAGACAGCAGCCATACCCACACAATCACATCCCGACCCTTTTTATGTGTACATTGTGATACACATAAAAAGGACCAGGGCTGCAATAGCAATAGCACTTAGACTTATATACCGCTTCACAGTGCTTTACAGCCCTCTCTAAGTGGTTTACAGAGTCAGCTTATTGCCCCCCAACAATCTGGGTCCTCATTTTACAGATCTCGGAAGGATGGAAGGCTGAGTCAACCTTGAGCCAGTGAGACTCGAACTGCCAAACTGCTGGCAGCTGGGAGTCAGCAGAAGTAGCCTGCAGTACTGCATTCTAACCACTGCACCACCTCAACTCAGCAATCATATGGTCATGGCTGTATTTTGACTTATTTAACCTCCTTTTGCCCACCCCCTTGTAGACCCCCCCCCAGGGCTCAGCATAGCTATTTAAATAATATATCAGAACTGAAAGAAGCCATTGTCCTGCAACACCTAGCTATTCCACAGCCCTTTCCGCAGTAATTCTCCTTCTACCTTTGGAACTATTCCAACTCTGAACACATAGCATGGAAGAGAACAGAAAATGCACTCAATAATATTAGTTTCACATTTGGTATTGCCAACCAGTAGAGGCTTTGTATCTGATAAGACCCTTCCTTCATTGATCTTGCTTGCTTTACAGGCAGTCCTCAGCTTACAACCACAACTGAGCCTCAAATTTCCATTGCTAAGCCAGACAATCGTTAAGTGACTTTTACCCCGTTTTACAACCTTTCTTGTTGCTGTTGTTAAGTGAATCATTGCAGTTGTTAAGTGCATCTGGCTTCCCCATTGACTTTACCTGTCAGAAGCTCACGAAAGGTGATCACCTGACCCCGGGACACTGCAACCATCATAAATACATGACAGTTACCAAGCGTCTGAATTTTGATCACATTTGATCTTGGAGATGCCGTAATGTTTGTAAGTGAGAAAACTTCCCATAAGTCACTTTTTCGGTGCTCTTGTAACTTCAGACAGTCACTAAACGAATGGTGCTAAGTCGAGGACTACCTGTATTAGGCTTCTGCTAGAATTTGTCAAGCAGGAGAAAGCGGGAAAGAAGAAAAGTCAGAGACAGAGAATGAACTAGACTGGGAACCTCTGTAGAAGAAAGAGAGCCAGTGTGGCAGTGGGGCTAAGGTCTTGGACCAGGTTCTCGTCTACCTTCAGCCACAAAAGTGTGATTTTGGGCAGGTCTTCTTTCTTCACTCCAACCTACCTCACAGGACTGAAGTTATGGAGCAAAAAGGGAGGAAGGAACACAGCATATGTTGCTTTTGTGCTCCTGACCAAAACGCAGGATAGGAATGTAAGACCAGCTAGTGTTACTGAGTGTTTTGTGTCTAAGCCTTGCAGTTTGCAACTTAATAAATCATGGGAGGAGGCCGATGGCAGAAATGAATTCTCAGTGCTGGATTTGCTTAGAGACAGCTCACTCTGCAGGGTAACCCACCACCTGTTCTGTAGAGTCAGCCTGAAGGTCAGTCTGCAGTCAGCTTACTTTAAAGATGACCTTTTTTAATTGCAAACAAATGTATAAACGAAGCCTCACTCCATATAACTGCATAGAAATTTGAAGTTGTATATCCTAAAGAAAAGTTGCCCCACTTCGAAAAGATTGCAGGAGCTCATGTATTGCCTTTGGACCTGTTGCACTGGTCTACAGACCTGGTCTGAAGATTTCCCACTGTGAGGAAAATGAAGGAAGGGCTGTGATGGTGGCTGGAATTAATATTAGTTCCTTACTTAACACAAGGGATCTCTTACTTCTAAATACCAGAGGCTTCACTTGATCACGTTGTTCTGTGGTCTATGTATCATCTCAGTGATACTTTTAGTCCCAAATATGCAATATTCAATTCAAATCCATAAAAAAGATTAACATGGATGTTAAATAAGAGATTAAGTGTGGAAATGTGAAAATCTTTTTATTTGCCTTCTGTTTCAATCTTTTTCAGGGAACAGCATGATGTTCCTTTTTTCCCTTCACTCCACAACAGGAAGGAAAACCAATCCTAATGACCAGAAAAACATGTCAGCATTGAAACCCCTTCCCCCCCAAAAGACCTTAGCATTATCAAGAAATACTGTAGCATTGGGACAGTATAGAAGAAATACTGTACCACAGAGACTATATTTTACACATCCCTGATTTCGGTTAATAGTCACTGGTGCTGAAAAAGGTTCATCTGTGAGATAATTGCACTGTAAGTGGATTCTGCCAGTATAAAATGTTTAAAATCAATTTATGAAACCTCACTGTAGTTCCCAGAGTCTAAATCATGGTACTTGGCTACATGTATCTCAGCGGTTTAACTGGTTTGAGGCCCTTTGGGTCAGTGATAACAATCTCTGTGTTCTCCTAAATCCCAGTATAAGGAGGATAGAATTGTCATAATATTACTTATTGTAAGCTAATTGCAGAACATCTGCCGCTATTCTCTGATGGCGGAAAAAGGATTTGGGGTGCATGTGAGGAGGGCAGTGTGTGACTTTTGAAGTTTGCAAGCTGGCTTAGTCCACCAAGCACTTCTGTCTATTAAAAGTTGTTATTAAATTAGATGTATATTAGGATGCTAAGAAATTAGGATGAAGTATGTGTTCTGAATTACGTTTATGATACATGTATTCACCCAAAGGTATTCAGTTTCCTGCCATCTAAGAGAGACAATAAAATTAGAGAGGAGAAATAAATGAAACACAATGATAGCAGAGACAGGAACAGGCATCAGCTAGAATTGTCTTTTGGCATCAGCAAAGAACAGAGAAGGTGAGCATGTCATATCGGAGGGTCTGGATGCAGAGAAGACAGAGAAGAAACACCTTTCAGAGCAAAGAAGCCAAAAAAAAAAGAAGGTAAGGCAGAGAAGAAGCCAGAGATTGGATGTTCATAGAGTTTCTGGGCATGAGAAAAAAGAAAACACTTCTGCTTCAGTCAAGCTTCAGCTAATAATCTTCTAGGACTCAATACCTATGCTTTGACTATTTTTACATTTTTTTTTGTGGGCTAAATTCACACACTGCTGAACACTCTTTGGAACTTGTATAGCACAAATCCAATCGCACAAGTTCTGGCTTAGCCGAGATACGCTGGCATTAGGCTAAACTGGTTTTTCAAAAAAAAAAAGCCTGCTCAGTTTTGTTAGTGGAAAATGTAACTTAGCCTATTATGGTTTGAGAGGTGGCACTTTTATGCAAGATGTATTTGCACTCACAACCCATTAAGCTGTCTTCATTTTGCTTTTTGTTCTTTCTTTGTACACCACCAATCAGAAGCTAATGACGATGTAGGTCTTTTGCCTGAACCCTTGCACACTCTTTAAAATCTATTATTTATAGTAAAAAGAAGGTTTCCACACCTGAGGCTCAATCCCTGCATTCTTGGTGGAGTAAGATGGTCTTGGAGCTTGGAATACTCCTTTAGCTCTTGGAGACAAAATTTTAGAAGAGTAATCGAAAGATCCTTCTGGTGATGTTTCAGCATTTGCTCTGATCTTCTGTAATGGAAACACATTTCCAGGTAACGGAGCAAAGAGGGCAGGCAATGTTCTGCTTGGGCTGGACTGGGCAGGTGGTTTCAACAGAGGAGAAGGTACCAAGGATGAAGTAAAGGAAGAAGCCTGTGTCACATAACCCCCTTCAGGGACTACAGATCTCATGGGCTCTCTGACTGGGGAACGAACGAAAAAGGAAGAGTGAAGTTGGTAAGGTTGTTGCTTGGAGATCCCCAACTCTTTTTTGGAGAGCTCACTTTCTGTCAAATTGCTGTTGTAGAAAGATGCAGGAGGACGTTTTGGAGATCTTGATGGACTTCTGAGTGCTGGTTGGAATGCCATAGGGGAGAGATGAGTTTCTGAAGTATACTTCCAGGATGGAGGAAGAGACATAGTAGGTGAAGGTGATCTTGCTATATCTGGATGTGATGGGGCTTCAATGATGTACTTCTGCATTCTTGATTGCCTCTTGGCAAACAGTTCTGCCCCCTTTCCTTTCGCCTCTGAAAGGCTTTGGTTAGAGCTTATTTTAGGTTTAGGCTGTATTTTTGGTGATCTTAAACATGAAGACCATTCTGGTGGAGGATCTCCAAGGGACTGGGTGGGTACATCTAATGATCTGCCTTCAGTTAGAAAGTTAGAGGCGTCTGCACCCAATGCAAATGATTCATCTTCAGGAAATGCTCCTCCTTGTCCTTTCTGCTTCTTTCTATTGTCTGCTGTCTGTACTAAATTCAAAAGATCTGGATTAGGACCCATTTTTGGCTTCTCAACAAAGGTGAACATGGACTTCTTAGCTGTTCTGCGGGCTGCAGATTCCTCTAGAATGCCTGTTTTATCTGGAGATGGTGCTTTGTTCTCTCTGAATTGAGGTCCTGGGCTGCTGTCTTTAGACCTAGCTTCAGATGGAACCAGGATTTTCTGTTCTTGACTAGGATACAGTGCTGAGTAAGCAGGAGGTGACCTGACCCTAGTAACCGGAGGAGGGCTGGAAAATGTTTCTGCATAGGTGGGTGGTGGAAGAATCTCCACCTCTGGGCTCTTCTCTGCTGGTGAGAGGATTTTAGTTAGCGACTGAGTGCCAAAAGGTCTTGCAGTTCGGTTCTTCACTGGTTGTGGCTTAGACAGAGTCAGGCGCACTTCACAGTACTGCCTATGATTTTGTGTGCTGGTTTCATTAGAACATACATCAGTGGCTTTTTCAGTGTCAGCAGTGGGAAAAATGTTCTCATTTTCAGTGACCAACTCATCCTGTTCCATGCAGGGCAACTCTCCATTTTCCTTTCTGTCAATGATTGGTTCACTTGGTGTCTTGTTGAGGACAATATTATTCTCCCTGTCAATAACAGCTGCGTACAGATCTTTGTCAGGGATGTTGTTGTTTTTCTCACTACCTATGGGTAGATATGGTTCTTTATCGAGAATATTATTTTCCTCATCCATATGCAGAAGATACAGTTCTTTTTCAAGAATGGCATCTTTTTTCTCAATGTTAGGGGTAGCCTCATCCTCAGTCTTAGCTGGGATGTTTTCTATATTGCCCATAATTGATCCTTGCTCAACCATAGGCACTTTTCCAAACTCAGTGAGAGGTTCATGTATTCCATTGGTTGAAGCTGTCCCTGTATTCTCTTTGAGGTATACACTGAGAGGGATCTGCTGAAATTCTTCCTCTGGAATATCTGTAGAGGATGTTGGGTTTGTTGAATAAAGAATTGTCTCACTCTTTTCCTTATTCCACAGAAGGCCCTGAGCGTTATCTAGAGGATGTTCCACACCCAAATCCTCCTCATATCTTTCCATGGTGACTTTTTGCCCCCAGCGTCCAAAATTATTGACGCAGACTGAAGCGTTCAGCTCCTGGTTTTGTTTCGGAGTCTGCTTCAGAGGCGATTCCTCCCCATGGCTCAGAGTGCAAGGGTGAGTGATAGCTTTGAGGTTGTTCTCCGCAGCTACTCGATCTGGGTTGGTTGGCTTTGGGGCTCCTAAGGTGAATGCATTCACTCGCTGCTTACGTCTGTGAAACAACAGGACCCCTTTGGAATTGGAACTTGGTGGATTTGTCAGCTGAGCAACAATCCTTTGGCTCCTTGCTTTTGCTTCCTTCAGCTCTGTTTCAGACAAGCTTGCACTCCTGGAGAAATCTGGGGAAGAAGAAGCACACAGAGTACAAAGTTATACATGGATATGGAATCCCAGAAGTGCATACCGACACACTTTCCATCTATTTTTAAAAGAAAAAAAAGTCTAATGGGATTAATTCTGTAGTTCCTCCTATTTGTGTGCTGCACTAGACTTATTTGTAATTCATTCAAGACACTGAACCATCTAAGAAGTCAGAAAACATACCAATGAAATCAGTAGCCAAGAGAACTTATGTTGAGATGCTGAACCAGAAAAACACAGGTTTAAATCCTATCCCTGCCAGGGTTTGCATATTACGCTGTAACAACTCACTGGTGCTGATGCTACCTTATCATATATGAATTACCTAATTAGCAGCAAAGCTATCCAGAAGTATTGTTTTGTATCCTTCAAAAACCAACCAGTTACAAGCAAACTGGTAGTGTCCTCATGCACTGTCTTTAAAGGTCCTTCTAGATAGATTCAGGTCCAGATTTCCCCAAATTTGCACCCTTGTGGGCCGCAGGATTTGTAATAGGTGGTTATAATTCCAACACATCTGGAGTGTATTAATCCAGAAAGGTAATTTTAACTCCGCTGAAGATGTAACCTAGCCTGGTAACAAAATGTTCAGAAACCAATCACAAGCTTGGAGAACGAACCTTCACCTTCATCCTATACCCGGGCTACAGATATTCAGCACTATTACAAAGGTAATTTTAATTCAAGAGGAATTAAAGGGACCTTTAATTGAAAAAGAAAGCAGAGATAGTTTGATTCAGAAGCCTGGTTTCCGTGGTCAACCAGAATTTAATGTGGAGTTTTGTCTATCAAGAAGTATGAAGGAAATTAAATCACCCTCAATTTTGTTAACAAGCTTTAGATAGTTTTCCCATGATCTGTGTCTTATTCCAACAGTAGGTTGTTTTATTTCCTATTGTTTATGGTGTTTACTATTTCAGAGAAATGGACTGAGTAAATAGATATACTTGAAGTTAGGTCTTCTATAAATTTAATAAAAACTGATCATATGAACATTTATCTCTTACACCTCCTATCTAAATATCAATTTATATTTTAGCGTGGTATATTATATACTGAAAGCTTTTACAAATCATAAGGATAATCTAAATACAAATGCACCGTATCTCTCTGCTCAGTTTATTATATAAGAACTAATACTGAATGGGCAACTGCAAAATTCTCTTTATCTACAGACTTGGACTGGAGAGTCCTTCAAATAATGGAGCGAAATAGTCACCCTAATACCGATGTAGTAATCCTTCCTCAAACAGGTGCTGGGCGTACATATTTCATGGCTTTGGATGGCAAAGCCTTCTTGACTAGAGGTAAAGGAAGTTGATGCTCAATACAAACAGAGGTCACCTAGTTGAAGGGAACTGATGTAGGTTGGAAAGAAAATAATATTGCTCTCCTCCACCACCCTTTTAGTAAACAAATGCCAAACTATTACTAAAAATAGGGCCAATAGAAATAAAAATGTTGATCAAATAGTTGGGCATACCCCTATCCTTGGGTGAAGATGTGAATGGCTAACAACAGGAAGCAACAGGGTAGATAAGCAATGAGAAAACAATTAGCAATAACAGTAAAAGGGGGGGCAAGTTCTCTTTTCTCCTCCTTCCCATTTTCACAGGGATCAACTTAAAAACAGGGTATGGCACATGTTTCACAGGTTCCTGAAATATTTCATGACATAAATCCTATAAACTGTAATTAGAACAATTATATAGACATATTTTGTGTGACCTGAATAAATTGCCTGAAATAAATTACCTAAAATAAAACCAAAGTACAATAGTCTTCCTCACTGATGGCTTTTATCATAATCAAAGCAAATTGACAGCAGAATGGAGCTGAGATGTGAATCTATATCAGTGTTTTTCAGCCTCAGCAATTTTAAGATGTGTGATCTTGAACTGTCAGAATTCCCCAGCCAGCCCGCTGATCTACATCCATCACATCCCTACAGATGGTAAATTATACTGAACTGGAAGAATTTGCCACCTGTACGGCACCTTTTCAATTTGTCACCTGTACGGCACCTAATTTCATTTTCTACAACAATTTACGTGGGCTTTAGTGCTCCTACTCTAATGGAATGTGTATGCGGTTGCTGTTAAAGGTTTTATAACACATCGCTTTTAGAATAGAAAAATAAAATCTTTCTACTCTTTTCTATACAAGACCTGTTTTTGCAAACCCAATACAGAGAAATGTCACAAGAGGAGGTTGCAGCTTTCTTTGTAGGAAGTTTTGCTTTGCAATTGTAAATGACTGCATGCAAAAGGAATTTATTGAAAGACTTCAAAGTTTCAAGTTGCAGTTCATTGGATTTCAAACACCCTGTACAAACACGCTCTAAGCAGGAAGTTGGCCAGCTCTAAACTGTCTCACAGAACTCCCTCTGCAGAGGGCAAAAGAAGTACAAAGTGCCTGGTTATCATAAAAAATAGGAAAATAAACCATTGCCTCTACGTTGCTAGAGGCTCACTTTTAATATAACCGATGCACGGTGCCGATCTAATAATTTTGCTTGAATTTAACACAAGATGGCAGCGCCTGAAAACAAATCTGTAAATATTGGGGCCTTTTGATGTGCTTTCCTACACACTGATTGAAAACCAATTAGTCAAGCCACTTTCTAGAATAGAGCCTACTTAGCATCTCATAAAACCGTGATGCTTAGGCCATTTGCCTGCCTCCCCCATAAGCCACCCTAGGGGAAATGGGAAGTTGACAAGCTTTTCAAAAGATCTGTCCATGGGTCATGGCAAAAGTTGCTATTAACAAAGGATGTGAAAGGACACTGAATGCATTTTCTGTGGGTGAGCCATTTCCTATGAGCCATTTTCCTAAAATGGCCATGATTTAGCACCTCTGGCAAGAGGAAATATCAAAAACAAGGAGTGGTTACAAAAACCTTACCACCAAACTGCTGACATTCTTGCTGGGGAAGATGGTTTCCCAAGCATATAGTTCTCTAAGTTCCTCGTTCTGATCTCAGTTTCTCAAATGGATCAGGACCAGATCACCTCTTATTGAAGTTGTTTTTAAAAATCATTATTAAGGATCCAATGAAGGTTCCTTGTACAAATCAAAAGGAAGCATGTTCAGTTACTCTTAACTATTCACCGTAATTAGGAAACCCATGTAACAACCTGCCTTCAGCAACGATACTTAATTAAATGATTCTGGTTGTGGTTATGATAGTCCTAAACCTGAAGACTTAATAACAAGCCTTCTTAGCCAAACGATACTCCAACCTTTTTTCCCCATGCCTCCATGAATATGAGTACATCTTATGTTCAGTTTTCTACTTGGACATACTAGAACAATAAGATGAAAGAACCCAACTAAGAAACCATGAAAGATGATTTTAAAAAATCAGTCACAAAAGATGATAAAAAGGAGAAAAGAACTACAGAGGTGAGGAAGTAGGTGTGGTAGCAGAAGTAGGGTGAATAAAGAGGAACCCAAAGGCCAGTGAAGAAAAGGAAGCAGAGAAGGATCTTGGGAAGAAATTCAGGTGAGTATCAAATCCCAGCTAATTATTGTTACTGTTATAAATCATTGACAGCCTGCTGACACCTTTCCTTCTTGTTCTGTACTGCAAAATAACCAGCAGCTGCAGAGCAAACAAGGAGGAGAGTGTTAGAAGTCAAAACAATTCATCATCATTATTATCATCATCATCATCTATTATACTACTGTAGAAAGGGCTGGGTTCTACTAAGTTTCCTTACTGAGGAAAAGCTCCTCTTTTTCCAAAATTAGAGCTCCAAAAACTGAAAGTGGTTGCCAAGTCCATTATGTTCAGCCTTGGAAATATTTCTGGTCCTTCCTCAAACCTTTCTGTGGCATCCCACACTCTCACTTTGGCCAGGCAAGGTGCTTCTTTCATAGGGAAAATAAATGTGCAGCTATTGAATGCAAAACAGAACAGAATTCCCAGGTGTTCATTCAGAATTCAATGTTTTTCATATGGACAGCTTGTTCTATTTGCTGTAAAAGACCAACTTTCCTGAAAATATATTTTATTAAATGTCTGTGGAGATTCTCAATAATTCAGGTGAAGGAACTCCAATTGCCTTTTGAAAAGCACCTTTAGGATATATTTTAGTAATAAGAACATTCTTCCAAAAATGCTGTTGAGTTGGATTAATAATGTCTGTCTGTCTGTCTGTCTGTCTGTCTGTCTGTCTGTCTGTCTGTCTGTCTGTCTGTCTATCTATCTATCTATCTATCTATCTATCTATCTATCTATCTATCTATCTATCTATCTATCTATCTATCTATCTATCTATCTATCTATCTATCTATCTATCCATCCATCCATCCATCCATCCATCCTATTGGCTAAATAGCCCGAAGATATTCTTTCAACGTGTAAGAAAATAAGCAGGACTTATCTGTACACACCAAGGATATGTATACATTTTCTCACTACTCTTATTATAGTTTATTTATGTAAATTAGAGGTGCTCGTTATGTGTGTAGGGGTTGTAGTGTGGTGGGGGAACAAAAAACAACAATCATGCAGTTTGACCTGAGGCCATAATAATTGTGAGACATGTATCACTAGGAAGCATCACTGTTTCTACAAATATTAAAATAAGAATGTAAAATTAAGGATTTTAGATGCTGCTGAACTATATTTCCCATCAGAATTATTGCTCTGAAGAATGCTCAGTTAAAAGACTAAGTATTAGTTCTATTAAATCTGAGAATTCTTCCCAATCTCTGCAGGAGGGAAAATATTTATCTGGACTAGAAGATTAAGACAGGAGGTTTAATCCCTTCTTTTCTAACCATGTACTGAAAGCTGGGGTCTTTTGAGCTTATGGTCTTCTTCCCAACCATATTCCTTATAAATGCATTTGACTGATCTGTGAGCAGCAGACTTGTTTATTAAAGTGCTATGTCAGTCTCTGCATATTCTTAACATGGATATCTGTAAATAAACACAAACGCTCAGCAATATTTTATGTTCTAATCA